GTTTGATAAAAAGAGGTATTTGAAGCTTTTTCATCTTTAATTTGATTCGCTATTGTTGGTCTGTTTTCTGTGTTTACGGTTTTGTTACACTGACCCACTGCTTCAGTTCAGCTGGAGCCGCTTTACTCACTGTTTTCTCTGCTCATGTACCTGGGATCCAAAAGCATTTTCCTGCTTATTATTGGTAATTTCACTTTCAAACACACATCTACAAATGCACATTTGAAACCAATTCCGGCTGATTTGTAATTTTAGTCTCTCTATTGATAGCTCAGTAATTAAAGGGCCGCATTCAGATTTCTGCAGGTGAAACGTTCTGCTGGCTGAAGGAACTTTAGAGGTTTACAATATGGTCGTGATCATGTGGTTGGCCTTACAGAAGCCACACACTCGGTGTATATCATTATTGGAGTGCTGTTCTGCAATTACACTTGCCTTTCCTGCCCGATCTTTAACAAGATGAAATGTCTCTGGTTAATAAAAGTTTCAGATTCGGTCTACATTTACTTATATACTCACATTGAGCCGTTTCGTGCATCTCGGAGCCACAAACCTCATTTCAGAGCGGAGTAATTTGTCTTAATTTAGACGATTGCTTCTCCAATAAACATCACCCTCAGAAGACACTCCCCGAATGAAATCAGCTCCGAACTGAATATGACACCACCGATCGAAATGCTGTTGTTTAAATTTTTACCTCAGACATGACCCCCAATCCGTGCCGAGTTAAATTATGTCTGTAACCAAAAACAAAGATGTTGAGGTTTATTCTGAAATCGTTGGGCTATTACGGGGCCTGAATGTTTCCCAGCCCGGTCAGCTCTAATGAGAGCTAAGCTTTCACTTGCGCCTCTGCATAAAATAAAAGTCACATCAAATTTAAGAGAAATATCTGACCGAGCTGAGGTGCATTACGGCAGCTGGCACTTACACAGTCAGATTTTTATTTTACTCAGCAATGTTAATAGTACTATTATGATATATGGCTTATTTAGGCTTTAAAGCTTTATAATGTGTGAATGTGCGTGTCACTGATTCTTTAGGTCATTCCAGGGGGCGTAGGAACAATTTGAAAAGTGGGGTGGACATATTAAGGCCTTTGAAAAGCACTGATTGTCTCCCAAAACTCAACAATTTAAGAATTATTCCATTGTTATTCAATTTGCTTTTAACTAATATACATTCAATCTTACACTCTCTTTCACAGCGTCCTCTTTCTCTCATAAACTCATGCAATGATTTACCCCAAATTCACCTCTTGCACAGGCACTCTTTCCTGCTGTACAGCTGAAAGATTCATGTGTATAGTGTGCAGTTGACAGTGACATTTTGTCTGTTTGTGTGTAAAAGTGACACGACGTGAAGGCCAAGCACGGTAGCACACACACACACACACACACTGCAAGCCGTGTACACACACACCTCAGTCGTTTCCTGCCAGTATTAAGAATCAAACACGCAACCTTCAGTTTCCAGTCTGACTCTCTAACCATTAGGCCACGACTGCCCCATGTCAAGCGGGGACTGACCATTTTCACCAGTCCATTTCACCAGGACCATCTTTTACCAGCTCTGACTTCCTCTTTGTGTGTGTCTGCATGTTTACATTAGAGTAATGTTACTGTAGTATGTTTCACATACTGTAAGTTTGTGTTCATTTAAAGTGAATATTTTAATGCATTATTTGTGTTTTAAGAATTATTTGTGCCTTAATTTGTTGTAAATGTATACATTATAGGGGAGAGCATGGATAATTGTAATGCTCAATAAATTTAACATCAGCAATAACTTAGACAATTCAATTATTTAAGCTTTTTTAAGAAACCAAACCTGTTTCAATACAAATATCCTCCTTATATGTAATTCTCAGGTGTATATGAGTGCAATTTTCACTTGGACGAAATTTATACATAGTCTACACAGTTATCTCTCAAAATGTCATATTGCCTTGTGGTCTGATTTTGTATTACAAAAAATGAAGTCAAAAGACTCAAAAGAAAAGTCTTCTGCTTGAATGTAACAGCTCAGAAATGAGCATGAATACATAACAATATAATGTCATTATTAAAGCATGAGCTTCATAGTCTTAAGATACAGTATATCTAGTGTTTTGAGAATGTTTTCTGTACTCCAAGCTCAATAAACTGACTCAATTGAAAGTTATAAATTTGACACTAGCAATGACTGATATGTCAAAGATGTTTGAGGTCAAAGTTTAACGATATAGCAAAATGAGTAATATTTATTGGTATAAACTTTGTAAATGTGTGTGTGTTTGCATTTGTGTGTGTTTTTTAATGGCCACATCTTGCAGGCTTCACTTCCTCTTCCTCCAGTCTGAGGAAGCTATGGACTCAGGAGGCCTGTGTGTGTCCGTCTGTCTGTCAGTGTGTCCTCTCTCCATCCTGTTGGCCTGCGCTTCACCCCATCCTGTGCATGTGCACTGTGGCCCACTCATGTGTGTGTGTGTGTCACCTGCTCCTGAGTGTTAAATGTGTCATCGTAGAGCCACTGTCTGTCACAGCAGTTGACCTCCTTGAACATCTCACTAAATCATACATCGACCAACAACATATGCTGAGAATGTTCTCACTGCTTGTGTGTCCAGCTGATGTATTCGGTGTTGCAACACTGCGTGCAATGTTTAGATTTACAGGAATATGGTGGTGGTGTTATTATTTGATTCAGTTGCATCAGCGCTCACTCATGGGGTGTAAAAAGTTTTGAAGTCGAAGCAATGGGGAAAGTCTGAATGTGTGTGTGTTCCTGGCTCTCTTTCGGCAGAGGGTCAGTTAGAGATGCTGATGGACTGATGTGTTCCGGGCAGGCAGAAGAATGAAGGATGGGGCACACCTCCATCCTGTAACCTCCCTCCCTCTCCTCCTCCTCCTCCTTCTGTCCTTCTTTCTAACCCTTTGTTGACTTGCTCTAAAAAGTGATTGCAGCAAATCTAACAAACTGATGCTGCTGTAATAGATACCATATCTGAAGCAGCAGAGAGAGTGTTTGTTTAAAAAATGTGATAAACACTTCTGTCAGAACTTATTTTATGCTCCAGACTGATCTTCCTTTAATGAGTTTTTAAGGATATGTCTTGATTTCCCAAAGCTTATGAATCCAAAAGTACCTGCGAATTAGTCCTGATAGGTCATGAAATGTTTTTGGCGGTTAAACCATCTCATATTTAAATAGTGCTCTTCCTCAGAATTTTTTGGTGAAAGGGGGATTTTAGGTGAACGTTTACTGTTACAGTGGTTTTGAGATTGCAGTCAACTTGGGAAGTGTATAATTATAAAGAAAAACATATTGACTTTTCCTTTGGAGGAATCTTTTTTTTTTTTTCTCAGGGTTAGCTCTTCAGTTTCAGTCTCTTTTGGTGCGCTGGATTTTAGTTTAGAATTTTAATTTTTAATTCATACACAGTGCGCTTTTTCTCTTCATATCTTCCTTTTTCCTGCTGTCAGAAAGATTGAACTTCAAGGCGGTATATGTGTTCACAGATAATGAAACATTTTCCCGTGATGATGAAAAGGCCTCATTTTTTTCTTTTTTTTTTACTAAAACAAGTTACAACGTTTTGTATAAAATGAGTAATACATTGAAGATTTTTATTTAATTTAAAAAAAAATTTTTGTTTAAATCATGAAGTCATGGATAATCCTTCCTCAGAAGGATGTATGCATTTTTGTGTTATCATTAGTAAAAAAAAGATTTTCAGAGCCTAAAGTCTAAGGGGCCATTTGCACGAGACCGAAACTTTTTATGCGCTTTGGTCGTTCATTTACATGATATTGCCTGAAAACGCAAACTTTTGAAAACGTGTTTCAAAGTGCTAGTTTTCGAAAACAATACTGTTATTGTTTCCTTGTAAACTACAAAAACGCGAATTTGTGAACACGGTGACGTCGTGCGCATGCGTATTACGTGTTCAGTCTATAGGCGCGTATAGTGTTTCTTTACAAAGTGACATCGCCAACCACTGGCATGGCAGCATAATACAGTGTTTTTAGTAGTTTTCTCGTATCCATGTGAACGGGATCGTTTTGGAAAAACGTTTACGTTTGTAGAACATTGTTGTCGTGTAAACATACCCTAAAACAACTCATATAACATAATATATACATATAATACTATTATCATTCATATTATTATTTTGATATTTTTTTTTATGTTATTATTATTAATATAAATTCTTTTTTTTGTTTGAGAATTACTTCATAACGCAGCATTTCAGTTCTCATCATGCTGTAAGATGATTCTGAGAAGAATTCTGATTCCTCTGCCCATTGACCACTTCTTGCAAGCCAAGGGTGATGATGTCAGGGCGAAAGTAATCATGACTGTGCACGGAAACTCACATCATACACAAACCCACACATATGCTACACACTCACAAACACATACTTCCATTCCTGTGAACAAACCCAAGAGACCAGCTCTGGGTGTAGAGCAAGAACTGTATCACAGATGTTGTGAAAGTGTTTGGCACTTTGCTCACCATAGCAGAGGCAATAAATCTGATGTTGTGGTCTGAATTTGGAATGGTGAGTTTTTAAAGATTCTTCCCCATTTGTGTTTTTAAATTGTGCGTGGGTCCAAGCGCCGCTTGAGAAACGCTGTTTCTGTAATGAGCCAATTCATCTGGGCCTGTAAGAATGACTGGCTCTGATGATCCTTGTTCTTTGAAGCTTTCTGCTGCTAATTCTGGAGTTTAAAAATAGATCCGCCCAAGTTCACCTTGTTTAGTTAGAGTTTGTGCCGAGTCAAGGATCTAACACTCCTCATAATGCTAGAACAAGTCTTTTTTTGTCTCTCTAAACTCCCCATTTAACCTCTGAATTGTGTTTGCAGGTGTGTCTGTTTACACTGATTTCTCTATGAGACATGAACTTTCATGCCCTCTGATCTAAAGCTCAGAGAAAGAATAGAGATGCTCATGAGGACAGCAGCAGATGTCGTCCCCCAGGCCATTAAGTCAACCCATGTCTACACATCACAGATCATTATTTATTGATTTATTCAGTCGAGTGTAGAGCACACTGTTTATCCCTGCTTTTTGTTTAATGTTGAATTAGTCTGTGAAGACAAATCCCCTTTATTTGTGCCAGTTGTACCCATGTATCACCAGATTTAACATTTCAAAAAACGTGCTGAGAAGGATTTTATATAGGGTTAGGATTTGCATTAGGACAAACATGCATTTGATACAGAAATGACTATTTATTTTCAAAAAATAAGTTTAAGGAATCCAGTGATACATGTAAATAAACAATAATCAGATTAAAGTGCCAAATATCAGTTATACAAAAAGGAATCTGTACAAAAGGAGGAATTACATGATTGAAGGTCTTTGGTGAGAAGGAATGACTGCTCGACTGACTTTGGGTTTTAAATGCGAGAGCTTTGGTGGTCTCTCAGTAACTGCATAGGTCCGAAGAGTCTGCCTTCATCAACGACAATGTCAACAATATCTAGAAAAATCACTGTGTACAAAAATAAAACACAACAGATCATTCGGAATGGAGCAGTGCAGATTAAAATCATCACAGATCTCACAATAGCTGTTCTCTTTGGTGTCGGCGCTCTTCTTGCTTATTTGTTCTTTCTTAAACAAATCAATCAGTTTGATTGTCTTAAATCCATGTTAAAGCTTCTGCTCAGTCTCGTGACTTCTCATCCGGGTTCTCCATTCCTTTGTTTCAGTCAAACTTTTAAGGCATCATGGCTGTAGGTTATGGAAGGATGCCTTTTCAGGAAGCTCTTTGGTCAAGCCTAATCCATCTTTGGTGCGTGAAGCCGTGCGCAGAGGTCCACGGCCCTCAGATGGAGTCTCCGTGGCCTTGGGATGACAATGTTTTTGGCTGGAGTCACTAGGTTTTGTTTTATAGTGTCCCCATTGATTGAAGCAGATGCCCTCACTTTATCTTGGCTGGTTTGAGCTCCTTGACCTGCATGTGTAATGTTTTGTGGACAGCAAGAGTTCTGGACTGACAGAAACCCTTTCCACACTCCTGGCATTTAAATGGCTTCTCTTTGGAATGGATGTACCTTTAGAAAAGAGAGAGAGAGAGAGGGAGAATAGTTGCGGTTTGTTAATGGATGTAAGCATGTTTACAACTTAAACAACACAGATTTTAAAGTGGTCTGAGCATTTTTCTGCCATTATTCTGCCAAAAAATGTGAACTATTGAAATGATGGCGATTTTAAATGGAAGCTAGTGCAGTAGTTTAATCTTCCGAGTCGTGACAAATCTTTGGGTCTCCAAATGGTAATTAAATCTCATAAATGATGCATATCTAGCGATAACTGTCAGTGAGGAAAAGAGCCAAGATCATTACTGAAGAACTGAAGGAGATTGTTCAGCATGTCTCAACTAATTTAAATCATTCTTATAGTACTGGCATATCAAATGTCATAAATCACCAGAGCAGGTGTGGTTTAAAACAAAACTGATTTTTCTGCATCTGTTGTGCTTGAGGCTTAACTTTAACCACATTAACTCTAAGCTCAAATTGTTATTTTAGAATCTGCATAACATTTAATACTTGCATTTATATGTGTGCATATAAACCTTTTTTAAATAACAAGTACTTCACATTATACCCTGTGTTATTTTTCGAACTGGAATGATGGGAGAGTATTACCAGGTGCGGTAATGCTTGATGAGGTCATGATTGGAACAGAATCTGCAGGAGGTTGGGAGTTTGTGGGTGGGCAGGAGTTTACGTTACTGTACGCTTTATGTATGAATGTGCAGGTATAAGCAGGAATATGTTTCTAGATCAGATGTGAATCCTTACCTGTGGTCTCTCAGGTGGTCCTGCCTCCTGAAGGCCTTGTGACAGATGTCACAAGTGTATGGCCGTTCGTCTGTGTGCGTGCGCTCGTGGATCAACAGGTTGTAGGACTTAGTGAAGTGGCGGCCACAGAACTTGCACACAAACTCCTTTTTCGTCTTGGACGGAAGTCGTCCCCGGCTGGGTTTTCTTTCCGGCGAGGAGAGCTTGGCCACATCCAGCAGGCAGCCCAACGAGGGCGAGCGAACGTGCCCGTTGTTAATGCTCAGATCTTCGGCCTTCAGGGCGTCGTCTTGCGTGGCGGCCGCTGCCAGGTTGGCAAAGTCAAAACGAGGTTTGCTTTTGCTGGATGCTCCAGAACCAGGCCCGGGGGATTCCTGCTTGGCGGGCTGGACGAGATGGGGGAACAGAGGGATTGAGGGTAGAGGGAAGCGGGCGTCCACCAGGCCAGGCAGCTTGGAGAAGGTACAGCGTGGTAAAGTGAACGGTGGGTAGCCCAGAGTCCACTGGTGCAGGTGGACGGCATGCAGGGCACTGAAACTATAGATGCTGGGCATGTGGTCGGCGGGCAAATGCAACCCGTTGGAGGTATGAAGGAAGGAATAGTTCGCCAGCTGTAGAGAGGGATGAAGAGGCACGGGTGCTGGGAGCGTCTTACTGCCCATGTCTGATTCCAGAAAGTTTCTGTTTGAGACAAAGACAGAAAGAAAAATTAGTAAAGTAAGAGCAACTAACACAGTGTCTCAAAAAATAATACACCTGCAGACATCCATTGAGCATTTGCTCACTATGTTTACATTTTATGTTATAGTATAGGCCTGTATTATGCGTTACTTGGAAACAGCTTGTTTTAGGTCCTTACAGGCTGAAGGGACTTCCCTAAAAAGAAAAAGAAAAACACGCGCACACACTCATGTCAAGACATAAACTGCACATGTCAAGTGAGACACCTTGTCTGACATATTGAAAGAGCACACTCCAACATGAGCACAAAGCAAGGCTCAAGCCTGCCAGATGAGTGTGTGTGCATGTACATTTTGGTGTGGGCGTCTTCTGAATGCCGAAAATATGCCTATGGCCATGAAGACGAAAGACAGTAGGTGACATACCTGCCTCAACTGTTTAATCAGGTTGGATGAGAACAGACACAAAGCACAATAACTCCTCTTTGTCTCATCAGGAACTACAAGCACACACACACTCAAACAAACAGGCTTGGTGTGTGTATACAGTGTTACTCATATCGTCTGGAGGATTTTTTTTCACACAGTTTTATAAGTACCACGTGAAACGAAACAGTGTGTTGTGTGTTATATTACTGAATACAAAACGAGACTATGCTATGGTTCTGATGGATGAGGTCAAAGCGTTGCAAATGTTGTACACAATTTTAAGTCATAGCCTATGTGTCATGTTTCTAAAGTTCAAGAAAGTAAAAAAAAAAAAAAGGAAGTCACATCTCTATAACAGTTTTTTAGCTAAAAAGTCTGAAATGTAAATGATGACGTTTATCTTGTGTGTATTTCTGTCTTGAATACTCATCGTGATGCGGAGAGGGTCTGATCTGCGGTAAATAAAAAGTGAAATAGCCCTAATTAGTCTTTCTGAAGCTCAAAGCTCCCCCGGGGATTTGGACGCTCTGATCATGGCGCAGAAGTAATTGACTTTTACTTACGGAGGTCATTAGAGGAGATCAGGACTCGCTCCCGAGAACAGGCTCGTACCCTTAACCCTTTGAAGTCTACATACCTTTAAACGATTGACGGAGGGGAATGTGTCAGGAAACTATCTACTTAACCGTTAAATCTAACGCCAGTTGAACGTTTTAGGGGGGAATAGACATTTCTGAATTGTGGGATTTCACAAGTGCTTGGACATTTTTTTCCGGTACATTGTTGGCTAATTGGTCGGATTTGCGCGCTGTGTCTGGATAAATCTCCCAGATTTTGTCCCCCACGCCAGGCAGAATCAGTATTGTGGGGCTAAAGACGTCTATCCCAGACAAGGTGGTGAAAGAGTCTAAAAAATCACACCGCAATTTGCTGAGCTCGTGGTCGGCTACCCCCATCCACCCTGGGATACAGATCTCAAATGTGACACGTCCTCCTCAAAATGTGGTGAAACATTTATATATATATATATATATATATATATATATATATATATATATATATATATATATATATATATATATATATATATATATATATATATATATATATATATAATCAAAACATATTGTAGGCCTAAAGTAAAATCTGATTTGTTAAGCCTAATTTGAAACATCCATGCATTTGCAAACACCCATCAGTGTGTAAATACTGCAAGAATATTGTCAGACGCATGCATGGCAAGTGCCTCTGTCCATCATTAACCCTCCTTCCTTATCAATAACTGTGATTACTCAGCTTTCATCAGTTGCGCATTGAGCGCGCGGAGGTCATAAGTGTTTTATCTCTCGGTAGGTGTGAATGTGCGCCTGTCGCGAGTATGGAGATCACAGAGAAATCTCGACGTGTATTACAGGATTTAATCACGGTCTCGAGGTTCATGCGTTAACGACGAGTCTTTGGTCAATTGTCCAACGATTATCAAGTAAGTGTATGTTTTCCTTTTTCTGCGCAGCCCCCCGAGAGGATGTGATCACTTAACCCTGGAGAGAGGGAAACACACCATTCATTAAGCACCGCCAAACAGTTGACTAAATATACAAATATATGTAAGTATTGTGGAGAAGGCCTAGCGCTTTATTGTGTTTTCAGTTTGATGTAAAACGCATGTGCCTGTACTAGCCTCTATATCATAAGAAAAATAATTGACAGTGGAATATTTTAAAGTACTGAATAATGGCTAGCATATTGTCAGATTCATACTGATGCACTTTGTGTAATCAGATAAAAATATATAACAGTTAAAGCTGAAAGGGTCACAGTACAAACACTAAAATACTTATTAATTTTAAATGCTTAATCTTTGAACTGATGCAATATCGAAATTCGTTGCATCTTCTCGCTAGAAATTAAACAAATTGTGTAGCCTATACCTTAAATGTTTTTAGGAGTCATTTCTGACAGGGGGCATTCAACAGAGGTGGTCATTAATTTATGACAAAACCATAACATGAATATTTTAGGCTAAAATGTTAATCGTTATTAATATCTAAAATGTTTCAATTGTTGGGTGCATTTAGATTATGCTTAAATGTCTTGTAGAACACTTTAAATGCAAAATAAAATCATTCTGGGGCAAGAAAAACATTTATTTATACATTTGCATATTTTAAAATGTGCCCGTATTATTTAAAAAAACAAAAACAAATATAGGCTATAGTCCATATTATTTTAAAAGGAATGACATTTCGTTTTTTTAAATATTAAAAGGGTCGCAACCGTTCATGATTAATTGTACCTAGGCTACTGGATTTTTATGGGAGAAAAAATATATTTTGTTTTATTTTTGACCATTTTGATGCTTCCGCAAGACGTGAGGTGAACGAATAGCGCTTAAAATAAACCGAAACAAACGAATAACTGCTAATTTTCTCATCACCGAGCATCACTGTAAAACCATTCAAACCACACGCGAACCACGACTCGAGATCACCGACCACAAGGCCTCGCATGGCTTCGAAAAAAGAAAGTTTTCTACATATGCATAATACAATCTGAAGTTTACAATTTACTTGAACGAATTTGTTAGTTTTTGAACGAAAAACATTGGGTGACATGAGAGCATGCAGCTTCAAGGCGTTCCACAGACGACATTTGTGAATCTTAGTTTTTTTTAGTAACATGTATTGTAGGCTATGTAGTGTAAACAAGTTATTTTATTCCCACAACAATATTTCAAACGTATTGACACCATTTATAATCAATAAGAATTTGCAATGCGCATCCCACCTGTCGATCACTGACCCGATCACCATTAAAGACCATCATTTACACATTAGTTACTTTGCTGTGACTTTTATCTGCATTAAGCAACAAATTACTTAGACATTGCAATGAAGTTAATTCAACAACTGTTCCAAGAATTTTCTTTAAACAGCTAAAGTGTTACAAGTTGTACCCGTCATGCTTTACAAGCAATTTCTCGCTTTACTAATTCATTCTTAAATGCACTTGAACATTACACATTTGTAGTTCACGTCTTGTGCAGGGAATCATTGACAGTGCAATAGTAAAAGCTTGTCAAAAATATTCCAAAAAGCCAGAAAATATTTACCAGGTCTTGGTGAAGCAGGGCGATCCAAAATAAGTTTTAGAGTCACTTAGTTTTCCCACAGCGTTTTTAAATGCAGTGCAAAACTCTCAGGCGCATCGGAGAAATGTTCGTCTTCCTCAGCATGTTCTCGCAGCAGAGACACGGGAAAACCCTGAAGTTCGCACAGCTGTGGTCCAGCGGTTGTGCGCTGTGAGTATTTGGTTACTCGGGGTAGAAACTCTCTCTCTCTGTGTCTTACTCTAGCTCTGTCTTGTGGTCCCAAAGTCAAACCGCCTCTTTATTGTAACCCAACCCGCGACGTCACACAGCCAAACCCCCAAAATACTGAAGTGAAGTTTCCTCCACTGGTACAGCAGCCCTCAACGCTGAAGGACCAAACACACGCAGACTTTTATCCAAGGCATACATGCTAGAGGACTGAACTGAACTCCACTGCAACTTTTGAAACTTTTTACGTTGGAAAGGTCTTCCACCCCTTGCGCGCTGATAAGGGCGGTAATCAGCAGAAGGAAAGAGAAAAAATATAAATAATTAAAATAGGAACATTTTGCATTAAATATGTTACAATGACAAACAGCCTACTTTTTCCACATTATTATTATTACTATAAAGAAGATTTCACTTATAAACTGAGCTTAGAAAAGTGTAAGTAAATAAACGTTCTCATCAATAAAGCATAAAGTCGAAGCATTATTGTTTAAAGTGAGCTTCTGTGCGAGGTGGGGGTGGCAACAAATCAAGCTTCACTTTGTATTAATTAAGGTAAATATACAACTGTCACCTTTAACTTGTGCTCTCTGCGAGAAAGAAATGAGAGACCAGTTTTAAACGTCCCAAAACCATTAGTCAATTTGTCACCCCGACCCCATGAAGACATTAAGAGCACGAGTCTCATTTTAGTAACACGGGAAAGGTGAATTCAAGAAGTTCGAGCACCTCTCTTTGATACAAACTGAAGTGCGGTGGAATAAACTTTTCCTCTTGGGGTCAAACACACATAGATTAGCGTAAACTGCGAATGAGGAAAACATATATTGTGTAGCTATAAGAGAGAAAGAAAAAATCATTTAGTTTACAATGAAAATAGAATGTGTAGCCTACTTCGATTTCAACATTTCTGCACGCATGTAACTTTTTAAGATTTAGGCTAAATGTTAAAAATACATCAAATTGTAATTTTTCCTTTTTTTATGGAAATAAACAGTACATTTTCACTAACTCTGTTTTGTTGACTCGGGAACTCTGTTGTGACGTCACACCACCCCACATAAGATAAGATGAGATGCAGGTTGCAGGTTCCTTTGAGTGAGACGCACAGAAACTTTCTCAGTGGATCAGAGCTGGACAAGGACGCTGGTGCGCATCTGTTGCGCGCTCAATACGCGCCACCTGGTGGCGAGAGCGCGTAAAAATGTAATCCAGCAACTGCAGAGGCGCTCAGCCCTACTCCTGGAGATCTACTGTAGGGTAGGCCTACCTTCGTGCAGAATTTAGTTCCAATCATGTTCTACCTGCAATTTTCAAGTGATCCATAGACTTAGTTTAGTAGGTTCAGGTGTGTTTGCTGAGAGCTGTAAGTAAATTTGGCACCCTTTATTATAGTCATTGTTTTTAACTAGTTTGAAAAACCTGGTGCAAAAAACAGTCATGAGTAGGCTAAAGAGTAAACAATCGATTGATTTAATGGGAGTGTGTATTCATGTGAGGGCTTTGGAAGGTGTTGTTTAAAGCTTAGACGTTGGCTTAATTCCCCATTTCACACAAGAAGGGAATGTTAACTACTGTAAAAAAAGATTGTTGGTTTAACTTTAAAAATTAAGTTACCTGGTTGCCTTAACATTTTGAGTTCATTGAAATTAAAAATGTGAGTTAATACAACAAAGGAGATTGGTTTAATAAATAGAAACTCAAAACATTGTTTTCTGAACCACATGCATTATCTAAGTTGATTTGACAAAAGATTAAAAGTTGTGATAAGAAATCGTTTCAGTGTAGGCTATATCTGATTTGAAATGCATAACCTATCAAACTATCATTTGGCCCATTTTACTGATCATCTACACAGAGATTCGTAAAATGCTGAGTGCAAAGGCCCATGCAGTTTATTCCGGCCGATTTTGCTCTGTTGGTTTTATCAGAATATTCTGGCTGTCTGTGAGTCCATGTTGCATCACTGAGCACAGCGCAATAGCCCTGACCTCAGGAAATTAATCAGCAAAACCTGCCACGGAAGCCGTGCGCCCACTCTTCGGCTGCATATAATAAAAAACAGCAGCTAGACATCATTTACATTTTTGGAGGTAAAAAGAAAACAAACTGTAAAGATTTGGTGCGAGCTCGAGCTGCTCATGTTTAAAGCACGGCTCACACACAATACGCTCTGCACATGCACATGAACGCACACACGGCTGCCTGAAGATAAAAAGAACTGTTTACAGCTCACTTACATATTTCATCACGTCTATTTACATCACTTTCGCTAATCTAAACACTTCAGCCACTGAAAGTTTAACATTTCAAAGTCTGTGAAGTCAGAGAGCTGCTCTCAAATTCTGAACTACTGACGGCTGTCTAAATACAGGCCCCCTGCCTGCGTCTATCACGCTCTTTAAAGTCCTGATAGATAGGCTACACGTTAACGTATTTTTTCAAAGCAAACCTGAGTTGAAAGCTAAAGGCAAAACAGCCTGGGTGTCACCAGTTCCATTTAAATTTTACATAATGCTTTACTGATTTTCCCGCCAATCGCAAGAAATTCGTCACGGATCTCAATTCAGATTCCAATTGGAAGTGAGCATCTCTATGCCCTACTCACTCAATGGCAGAACATGACCATAAATGATTCATTTATTTCCTTGAAGTGACCATTGCATGTTCCCTTCGCTAACCGACCTGTGGAAGGGCCCCTACGTGAAGGGATTCAGTTGTTCACTTTTGTTTGGAACGCTCCCACAAATGGCGTCCCCTTCCCGAAGTTCCCTTCAGGGGTGCAAAAACGCAGTTCTCTCTTACCTCCCCTGAGCCCATTAAGTTTTAACAGCATAAAGTGGGGTGGGATTGGTGGGGGGTAATAAAGAATGAATGGGGGGAAAGTCACGTGAGAGGAGGCAATGCCTCCATCGCGTTATTATTGGATGATTGAATATGATTGATTATGATTGGTTTGAATGATAAATTCTACTTTTTGGGGGCTTGGTGTTGGTGAGCAATCAATCCGCTTGGTGAAATTAAAGGTATATCTTCATGTTTGTAACCAGTGTTTACAGAGCTTTATGACCGATGATCCGAAAATAAGTTGGTAGGCCTATTAAGGTGTATCACGCTGCATCAAACTCTACTCATACTCAAACGAATTTCCCCAAAAAAACGAATTTCAGAAAAATATGCCACCTGACCAAAAACTGTAGTAGCAAGCCTTGTTTTCTGTATTTACGGACATGACGTAACCACGCAAGAATGAATAGAGTGGTGCAGGGATGATGTCAGAACCCGGAAGACTAATACACTGGTGGTTCCTTCGTGATTTTCCCTGTAATGGGGCTTTTCGGCTTATGTGTAAAATAATGCCTGTGGTAGACATAACTTGAATACTTTGACGTTTTGTTCTACAATGTAAATTACTCACACCCATAGCGAAAACGCAAATTTTAAAGCAGTAATGTTCATTTTTAAAAACGGACACTGTAAAAAATGATATGATCAATAAGTTATGACAACATGTGTAACATGTTACATTGCTGTTACATGTTACATTGCTTTAACTCATCAAAATAAGTTAAGCAATTTTCAACTGTTTAGAAGTTATACAAGATTCAACTCAGTCAGTTTAATGTAATTTAAGTTGAAATGAAAAGTTCAAATTTAAGGCAGCAACTTTTTTTTGACAGTGTATGTTTTTAATAAGTTACTAAGACAGCTTGGGGTGTGAGTGTGTGGACTGTATGTTGTAGAACAAAACATCAAAGTACCATCAAGTTATGTTTACAACAGGCTTTATCTTACTCATAGATTGAAAACCCTCTATAGGAAAATCTTGAAGGAACCAACGGCGAATTAGACTTCCAGGTTCTGACGTCATATTCATATGATATTTCTCCGCGAAATATATATATAATAATCATAATTACCATAGTAGGCTTCATCCATTTAATATTGTTTAACACAAGTTATTAAATAGCTCAATAACAAAATTTCAGTATTTTTTGGCAAAACTTTCAAATTTGTATTTAGCTATGTTTTATTCAATTGTGGTCAGATTATTATTTTTTCTTTCTGGAAACCTTTCTGGTTTCATTTTTTTTTTTTTTTTCCAGTAATGATCTTACCAGTCTCACTAGCATGCAAAAATCAGGAAGAAACTTATGCATTAGCTTATAATAAAAGCAATCACAGCTGTTCATATAGAGAAAGAGAGCTGGAGAGATGTATAGGGCTGGGTTGTGAGTCAGCTGGATGGAATGGGGCTTGGTGCTTCTCAGGGAGGTAATCCAGCACGGCTTTACGTTCAAACTGAAACCGCAAAGCCATAACGATGCCCCTTTAGGTCACTTATTCCCTCTACAAAAACAACAGGCTTTTAATGGCTAATGAAGAACAGAGGTGTAGCTTCTCTGAACCTCTCGTGGTTACGTGAAACTGCTGTGTTTTTAGCTCAGATGGCTTTGGAGGTGATTGAGATAATTGAAAGCGCTCAGAGGCGCTTCTAATACTTTACGGGTAAAAGGCCGTGTTTAGACTTAGGAAGGATCATCTTTTGACAGACCTCTCAATGGTGACACACGCCGGATGGTATTTATGAAGGAAACGATTATGCGTTTATAGGAAGTGTTACAGCTGCTGCTGATGATGATGTTCGCAATGAATATGCACAGGTTTAGTGTTCAAATCCTTGATGAATACGGGTCAGATGTTTGTTAATTCATTTATGCTGTGTAAAGTCCACACTCTCTTTAAGAACATGTTGGCCACTTTCCCGAAGAGGGTGTGAACCGAAGGCACTTGGTTTGACCCGTTTCAACAGTATCTGCATTTACTAAGACTTGGCTAAATAATTACAAACATACACCCTGTGGTCGAATTTATGAGCCCTATGCTCTTATCCTAAGCCCGTCCTATTGAGTTTCATATCCCTGAGATAAAGCCAACATTAGAACATCGATTAAGCATGAACAAAGTCATGGAGTGTTTTAATTTGATTGTTACATAATATCTTTAGCCTCCTTTCCACAGAAGGACTTGTTCGAGCA